TAGCTATTCTATCAAGTGACCAACTGGGGGGGGGGGCTGTTATAGCTATTCTATCAGGTGACAAAGTGGGGGCTGTTATAGCTGTTTTAACAAGTGACCAAGTGGGGGCTGTTATAGCTGTTTTAACAAGTGACCAAGTGGGGGCTGTTATAGCTGTTTTAACAAGTGACCAAGTGGGGGCTGTTATAGCTGTTTTAACAAGTGACCAAGTGGGGGCTGTTATAGCTGTTTTAACAAGTGACCAAGTGGGGGCTGTTATAGCTGTTTTAACAAGTGACCAAGTGGGGGCTGTTATAGCTGTTTTAACAAGTGACCAAGTGGGGGCTGTTATAGCTGTTTTAACAAGTGACCAAGTGGGGGGGGGGGGGCTGTTATAGCTATTCTATCAGGTGACAAAGTGGGGGCTGTTATAGCTATTCTATCAAGTGACCAACTGGGGGGGGGGAGGCTGTTATAGCTATTCTATCAGGTGACCAAGTGGACGGCTGTTATAGCTATTTTAACAAGTGCCGTAATATATGACTGCCATACGCAGGTTATCAAGTAAATAAAGACCAAACCATCTAACAATTGAGAGAAGTATTAAACAAGTGATTATTGAGTTTTGTAGTAATTAGTGTTGCTTGTAAATCTTTTAAAATAGATTTTGTTTTGTGATTTAATACATTCCAGTGCAGTATTTTTTATTACGTTTCAATAATTTTGTGCATTATCTCTGGTTGGCTTATAGCTACATTGCTAATGAGCAAGTGAGCATTAAATTTAAACCAGTTTATTGTTAGAAAGAATGGTTATGTTAAGGTGTTCCCTTTGAATCCAGTTTGTGATATTAATTAAATAACCTGCATCCATGTGTAATTAAAGCAATAGGATTTATAGTCTTATAGAGACTGAGCTTTACTTACAACTAAATGAGTTTCCTGTCTAATCCCTGTTTGATTAACTGCAGACACAAATATTTTTCGGGGGAATAATATATTCAAACCTTATTCAACTGATACACGAGCAAACACCCCCCCCCCCCCCCCCCACACACACACACCGCAATCACGCACCTACGCACTCAGACACACTTGCAATCAAACAGAAATACAAACGAACACATCCTCAGCCAGTGAGGGATTAAAGGGGGGGGGGGCTAGTAAAGCAGCAGCCTGGAGACCTCGATTATTTTTTGGCCCCATAATTTCTTTTACAGACTATAATAAATTAAATTTGTATAATGTGTTATTTTTATACTAGTTCTATGGTCATGAAAAGCAGTGTTTCTGCCAGACATTTTTCTCGGGGGGGGGGGGGGGGGCACTTGATATTTTCGGGGGGGGGGGGCGGTCAACATTTTCCGGGGAGGCGGACACTGGTAAAAGTATATTTTCTAAATAAATTCCATTTCGTTCGGGTGGGGGGGTGGGGCGGGGGGGTAGACTTTCTTCGAGAGAGCCCCCCCCCCCCCCCGAAGAGATGCCTTGAAGAAACTCAGAAAGATAAAAGCATTTTTTTAAAATAAAAAAGCAAAAATCACCTAAAAATCACAGAACATTTAAAAACAAACAAGATTTAATTATTTTCTGCTTGCACATGGTTTACTTAAAGCGCAGGAGCCTAAAATAATATATGTTAATTATGACGTAGCGTGCTCACAAATTAATTTCCCTCAATAATTAATCTAGCTTAACGGCCGTCCACTACCTCACTAATTAATATAGCCGTCCATTACTTCACATTTAGCTATAGATCCCGAGTGTTTTTTTTAAATAATGCATTTGAATTTCACATTGGCTTTGAATGTTAAAACGCATTTTATCGCTGCTGATTCTAATCAGAAAGTTATGGGCTATAATTAAACTGCCGTTAACTTCCAGTTTGTTTCCTCTAATCAGTTTCATTATACCATCAACCAGTCAACGAAATGCCCATGTCGTATTCCAATGCGAACAATTATTGTTTCTGATAAGTTGCTATTGTATGTCACTTGTATGTCCTTATTCTAACAAACACATAATCCAGCTATGTGCCATATCATAGCAGAGACGTTTCCAAAAATAGAACATATATAGGCTGGCCTAAGAGCGAATGAGCGCCTGCTTCAAATTTCCCTCTAAACTCTAAACTCAGACGAGGCTTACTTTTTCTGACAATACTAATCTTTTCTAAAAGGACTACGCATCTTAAGGAAATTTAATGGACGCGAGAAAGGTATTTGAGAGGCCCATTAAATATTTAAAATAATAAATACATAAAAACGTTTATAATTACAAGCTTTTAAAAATGCACTAAAAAGAAGAAAATAATACAATGCTCCATACGTGTGTATGTAGGGGAGGGGAGGGAGTAGAGTGCACTGTCACCCCTCCCTACCATCAAAGAGACGCCTGAAATAAGCTCTGGGTGTCTATTGTCAAGAAATAAACATTTTCATTTATATTTTCAAAAGATTTCAGTGTTTTATAATATCCAGGCTGAACAGCACATAAGCTAGGCTACATTAGGTGTATGTGTTAGAATGCCCGTCCAAGAAGAGATATTCTCACGTTAAGAAAGTGAGGTAGATCTATTGCGAAATAAATATCAAATGTTTGACATGAAGCAATGACAGCTGTTTTTAATACTGTCCGGGGAAAATCTAAGGTTTGTGTTTTGAAATTTAAAAAAAAAAAACTTTTATGATTTTAGCGTTAAAACATTTAATTAACTAGAATAAACAAAAAAAGTCGGTACAACGTCAAATTCAGTATTGATGACAAGTTTGGGGCCCTAAAACTGCAGCTTGTTGGGCTTTATCCCCCATTTCCCATCTCTTGATATTCAGTTGTTGTTAGCCTTTAGTAGAATGAATCTTAAGAACAAGTGTCGGAATAAATACGTTACGTGTCACATTCAGCGAGCACATTTTCTAAAAGTAGGTGATCAAACCATTATTATGCCAGAAATAAATTGTAGGCTATCATTTTAGGGAAAATCGCTTTAAGTAAAAATTGTCTGAACATAGGCCGTGACAGAGGTCGTCCATAAATGACGTCACACTCGTAGGGGGGAGGGGAAGGGTCCGTAATTTTGTGACGGTCTGTGATGAGGGGGAGGGGGTGGGGGTTCAGATGGTGCGACGTCATTTATGGACGACCTAAAACGAATTTTAGCCGTTATTTCGCGTTTTAGAAAACACTTTTAATAAACTGTAATAGGAATTGATTAAAATACTCTATTTTGATAGTTCAGACAAGATTTTGGAAAAATATCGATGTTTTAAAAAAATTAAACTGCAATTTTGAGGGGGGGGGGGGGGGGGGGGTTGTAGGCTGAGGTGTGATGTCATTTTAGGGGGGGTCTGGCTTTTTGTGACGATGTGTGACGGAGGGGAGGGGGGGAGGTAAAAAACGTCCAAAAAAGCGTGACGTCATTTATGGATTACCCCCTGACAGCTAATGTTAGCAATAGTGGACCATTGAACTAGTTAAGCAAAACAAGATGTGACCATTAAATTTACATGTTTTTGATAAAAGAAAATGGAGGGTGGGGGGCTTTTAAGATCGGAACCCCTGCTGGTGTCCTGTCAGCCCCCTCCTCCCTTCCAATTTTTTCATTCGCTACTGATTGTAATTATCTACGCCTTCGTATCTCATTGGCAGTAGTAACATTTGCGTGTATCATATCGATTCAGAGCAGTGGCGTAGCGAGGTTGGGTGTCACCCGGGGACAAACTTTCAATTTTCGATTTACACCCCCCCCCCTCAAACTTTCGATTTGCACCCCCCCCCCCTCAAACTTTCGATTCGCACCCCCCCCCCCCCCCCTCAAACCTTCGATTTGCACCCCCCCCCCACCTCTTAAAAGGCTATTTAACACTCTAATTAATCACTCTATTAAGTGGAATTATCATTTTTCTCTATATATTTTGCTATTTTTTGCCTTGGTGTCACCCCCCTAAATGGTGTCACCCGGTGCGGTCCGCACCCCCCTCGCTACGCCCACGAGTGGGGTTAATGGAGTGGGTGGGTGGACAAAAGACATGTCCCGAAGAACACATCATGTTTCTGTATAAACATTGTTACAGTGATAGTTTACCATTGGGCATATGCTGGGTGGCTGTTGGAAATGTTTGCTTCTCTCAGTTTGTTGTTTTCTCTCCTATTGAGCCACAAACTACTGGGGTAAGTTTGTTAACGAACGTTCGTTAGCTGGAATACGATCGTTAGTTAAGGCTAGTTTGTTAGCGTGCAGAGGGTTCATTAAAAGTGGTTATTATGTTATTTAACTAAGGTAAATTCGCGTGATTAGGTATGTTCTTTGAGCTAAGTACGGTAGCAAGAAAGGCTCAGTATCTGCTATATCTGCTATATGTGGTTAGCTCGTTAGTTGGAGAATGCTCGTTGGCTAAGGTACGTTCGACAGGTGTAGTGGGATCGTAAACTGGAGTACATTCATTAAAATTTTTAATTGTAATTCTTCTTGTTCGTTCTTAATTTTTAGTGTTGGGAGGGATCGAGCCTTATCTGCCAGAGGGGTTTGAACTCGAGACTTTTTTTCGAATTTATCAACCATGAGCTTTGCCGACTCGACCATGCTTCCATCACAATTAAGGATTACGTGTCAACTGGTTATGCGCCATTGAGGCCATTGGCTCCGATTTCAGCCTGCTTTTCTTTTTGGATTTGCTTCCATAGCCTTTGTCCAACCAAGAACAAACTACAAGGCAGCAGTTGTTTGATTTTGGAGTTGTCCTCTCCTAGAAGTGTGGCTGTCCCCAGCTAACGAGCCTCATCTGCCCGAGGGTTCGAACTTGAGACTTTTCGGTTTAGCAACCATGAGCCTTACCAACTCGACCACGCCGACCCCTTAATTGTAATTAAATAACGACAAAATGTAAAACACAAAAAAGCGAAATAAACTCAGCTATAACTGTCTCTTCCAGATTAAACTCTTACGCTGAGAAAATACACAATTCAAAATGCAAAGAGGTCTCCGACTGCGAGCGATTCCCAGGTCTTTTTTCTAGACAGCGACAGCCTCTACAGTCTGATACACAACCACAGCAGTTTTATGAGCGGTATATTCCAGATTCAAAATGAGAGCTTGACCACGCACTGGCCAAAAGATAGCAACGATGTGACCAATCAACATAGCCGTAGAGGAGTGGATCCATGTTGTGTCACGTTAGTGAAATTTGATTGGTTCACTTAATTGTACGTTGTTAAGTGGTCCACCTCAGCTAGACGTTGTGTGGTTCACTTTAATTGTTAAATTGTTAATATAATTGTTAATTTTTAAGTTTTGAAATTAAAAACAAAGGTTTAATAGCAAGCTGTATATAATTATGCAATATTAAGAAAAATGAATCCTTTTCTTTAAATACATAATAAATAACCACTATTTAAATAATAAAAAAGAAAAGCGCGAGTCGTTAATTAATTTTTTAAATAGTATTCTATAGGGCTACATCATATAGTGATGCAGAAGGAGATGTGTGTGTGTGTGGGGGGGGGGGGGTTCTAGTTCCGCCATTGTGCACGTGCTATCCCACTTTAAAACCAACTTTGTGTTGATACCACAGCGTCATGACTGTAACCACACCATTGTACGTCACATCGGTGTATGACAACCTAAGTTACAGAGTCAAACACCTCACCTCGACCTATCAGTTTCTAAATCAGGGAAAGTGCGCTGCGTAAGTCTCTTTTTCACACACATACACATACGAATACGCAAACTTTGATATATATATATATATATATATATATATATATATATATATATATATATATATATATATATATATATATATATATATATAATATATATATATAATATAATATAGCCAATATATATATATATACAGAGAGAGAGAGAGAGAGAGAGAGAGAGAGAGAGAGAGAGAGACCGACATATACAAAGAGGCCTATATGAGTACACTAGTTAAAGAGTATACAGGTCACAGGGCATAGAATGATTATAACATCTTTGAATATCCCAATCACATAAAATAATAGGTCAAATCTACTTCTGCCCGATTGACCTAAATTAAGACTGAAATTGTAACTTTATTTGACATACATTCTGGTGGAAGTGCAAACAATTTTATCCGGTTCGTGTCACCCTTTGCTCAATCCTGTTTATAACTTTCAATTCTTTCTTAAAACAACTAGACAAGGAGATTTATCTTTGGGTTTACAATTTTCGTTTAGGTGTCTCCCCCCCCCCCCCCCGCTCCGACTGTTGTGAGGCTGCTGCTTACTTCCCTTACAGATCGCGACAGTGGTAAAACGCAGGCTTGCTAACTCAAAAGTCGCGAGTTCTCGAGGCCCTCAGTCTTCATTCAACCTACTGTCCCTTCGTCTAGTTCAACCTGAAGTGATGTTCTGGCAGTATTGAGGGATACCCTGGTGGGGAAAAAAGTGTATGCTTAAAAAATAATGTATTCTCTCTCTCTCTCTCTCTCTCTTTCTCTCTCTCTCTCTCTCTCTCTCTCTCTCTCCGGCTGCACTCTCAAGAATTTCATTGAGTCATACATAGAAAATAGTGTTTGATCGGCTGCACTCTCTGTATATCTGCTTCATAATTTAATTTAACTTTAAGTTTACAGCAGGTTTTCTGCGAATATTTTTTCTCACAGGCTAGGCTCCCCTTGTACACTATCTGGTACTTGCCAGCTGAGGAACAGAGTCCAGTGGATCCTTGTAGAGAAGGACGACGGCACCGACACCTTTGTCCCGGTTAACGCCGGCAACGACTGTTACTGTCAGTACCATTAAAATGTTACTGTCAGTATTACTAAAACGTTACTGTCAGTATTATTAAAACGTTACTGGTACCAATAAAACGTTACTGTAAGTGTCATTAAAACATTAATGTCAACACCTTTGAAATGTTACTGTCATTATTATTAAAATGTTATTGTCGGTGCTTTTAAAACACTGTTACAACATGGCTAAACAAAATATATCCGGACATAGATCGGATTTGGACACACGACTTGTATCACAAAGAGTGAAGTGGGAAAAAAATAGTAAGTTTCAACCCTTAATTTACGGAACTAAGTTCTGAATGAAATTGGTTCTTAAACAATGCGTTATGATATTGCTTTTGGCACTCTTAAAGCATATGTCAAAGGAAATTTAGTTTCGTAAATTTTAAATGGTCCAAATATATATTGATACTTATAAGTACCGTCAAGAATGTAGAACATTTTTTTTTTCAACAAATAAAAAAAAGTTACAAAACAGGCATAACTTGTAAAATGTATTAACTTATACCATGGCAATCGTTATAACAATCATATTTGTAATTTTCACACATAAACACAACACTAAAGCATATTTTTAATGGATTTTCTATAAGATCACATCTAAGTCCTTCTGATTGTACCAAACACAACAAAAGGTGCCGACATGTCCTACTCCCTTATCTATATATATAATTCTCTTCACGGGGACCATGCGAGACACCACGTAAACGCACGCCGTTACTCCAACGCTCTCCAGGCATATTGCTACCACCCCAACCCCAACCAGTCTGGTGAGCTTCGGTACACGACGAATGTTTACAATGATAGAGCCGGGCCGATGACGGCTATTAGGGGAAGATAATTGAGTTTTTAAAAGATTTGAAACTATGGGGAGGAAACAATTTCTGCTTGATCTTTTCATTGTCGTCTGTAAACTGTCGCCACGAACGGCTGCTTTCACGGGCCGCGGGGGGGGGGGGGGGGGGTGACAATTTTTCGCAATACTTATATTTAACAAACCTTAATATTAGAGCTAGAACTAGACTTAGGCATACAAACAACTTTACTAAACTTAATAAACTAGCCTGCAACTGCTATCTTCGTTTTTGTTATACATTTACTAATATAAATCTAAATTCAGTTACAATATTTGTTATGTAAATCATACGCTAACCTTCTTCTAAATACATAAATATCAGTTTTTGAGTACATTTCGATAATTTATAATCAAAATAATAGCTATGTCAATCCACGAGGTAGAATACACAGACACCCCTGTCTTTTAGTGCGGATACTGCCTAACAAAACAATACACGAAGAACAAAATAGAACAATACCTCAGTGACCAGCACCCTAACAACGACGTCTGTCATGAAATCTTCTACACAATGAACCCAGAAAAATAAATATCTTACGTATACGCTGACGTCAGAAGATATGACAGACAACCATCTCCAAACCGAGTAACTCATTCAAGTTCAGACAACTCCATCCTTTACCCACTTTCATGTATTTGTTTCTATTAAATCCACGTGTTTTATAAAATGAAAATAAATCTGAAATATTATGATTTAACGTTACAATTTTTTTTAGTTAAAAGAAAAAAATCTGTACATTGGAAAAAAAAAGAAAGACAAAATAAATAAGTGTACTCTTTGCCTTCAGAAATTTCTTTCACGCAACACTATTTCCCGCTAAGCTCCCCACACCCGGACTCCACCCTTCCCTTCACACATACGAACACAAACGTCCCTCACACACGCACAACAACAAACCACGTTCTAATGTAATATAAACTTCTTTTGTCAAATCATTGCTAAAGTTACCAACAGTTACAATTTTACTGTTACCCAGTTAGAGTACCGACACTTTATCACGCTTTGTTGGCTGCACGTTGTCATCAAATCCAGAGTTTCTTCCGCCCCCCCCCCCCCGAACGGAATGAAATTTATATAATTTATATAGAAAATATATACTTTTAACAGTGTCCGCCCCCCCCGAAGAAAGTTTACCGCCCCCCCCGAAAATTTCAAGTGCCCCCCCCCCCCCCCGGAGAAAAAAGTCTGGAAGAAACACTGATCAAATCAATTTCATAGTGTCGTGGCCAACCAAGGTGGTCAACTCGCTTCCCTTGAGGTCTAAGGACCCTCCCCCCCCCCCCTCACCTCCGAAGTTGTTTAGGTAAACAAATCGAGCCTTTGAAACAACTCACGCTCGTTGTAAATTTTTTAAATTACTGGTTTTGTAAAGAGGTGTGCGATCTGGCCCATTTTTGTAATACAAATTTCTTAAAAAAACGTAACAAGCTGCTTTTGGTGTAGTAAAGATTAATGTTAAAAACTACGACCAGTTAAAATTAAACGGGTCAGGCAGTATGGGATTGCGTGAACTAAAAAAAGAATTTATTTAAAAAAAATCTTTGTGGATAATTCAATTGAAGTGTTTGAATAGTATGATTCTAGTTTTGACCTTCCACCCCTCTAGGGTTAGGAATAAATCCACTTGTCCATGCCTATGAGTCCAATTCTTCTTTGTGAACTCCTTCACAATAACATACACGTTGATCGAGTGGACAGACAACATACACATACATAGAGACGTTTGACATTACACATTTTTAACACTGAAAGCGCATATTGAAACAATTACTACTAAAAAGGTTTAATAATTACTAGAAACATTTACAAATAAAAATATATCATTCAATATAAGTGTCCTATTCTATTTGACTGCTACTCTTTATATTACATATTATAAGCAATCTTGGCTCTGACAAAAACAAAACCAATTCTCGACATGCATCAGAATAGGATGGAACAAACATATACATTCTCTAAAGAAAGGGATAAAATGTGTGTATGTGAGTTTTCTTTTTCCTGCTAACTTGTACATGAAATTATACTGCAAATTAAAATATTTTTAATTAAAAAAAATTGAGATACATTTGAAAATGGAATATTAAGTACCAAGTGATGAGCACTTAGCACAAAATGTGGACATAAACACATGAGATTAGTTAAAATGTTAATAGATGCAATGTTGAATGCTAACTTAGATTTTAAGAAACAATAAACTTAATTTAAGACTAATGATGGGTAAAACAAATTATAATATTGTTGGGTTAAACGAGATAAACAGAAGTCTTAGCTGACGGGATGATGTGACAATTTAGTTATTAAAATAATATTCCTAATTTGAACAAATATAATAGACAAGTATAAATAAAATCTAAATAACTTGACAAATAATTTAGCTATAAGAATTGCATTCATAATTTGAAGTAAAACAATAAATGTAATAGTAACAGGTATACATAACGTCTACGTGACTTGACAAATAATTTAGCTATAAGAATTGCATTCATAATTTGAAGTAAAACAATAAATGTAATAGTTACAGGTATACATAACGTCTACGTGACTTGACAAATAATGTAGTTATTAGAATTGTATTCCTAATTTGTAGTAAAACAATAAATGTAATAGCTACACGTACACATAATAACAAAGTGACTATACAAACAATTTATTTATTAGAATTGTATTCCTATTTTGAAGAAAAGCAAACATGATGGAAACATTTGCACAAAATAACATGTACGTGTTTAGACACACTAATGCTGGCGGAATGAAACAGATCAAGATGAATAAATCTCTTGACATGACTGTACAGTTTTGCGTGTACACTAGTGTACAGTGCTCTGTCTTTGGCCATTGTGTCAACTTGGTGTGTACATCTAGGGCCATTGTGTCAACTTGGTGTGTACATCTCGGGCCACTGTGTCAATTTGTGTCAATTTGGTGTGTACATCTAGGGCGACTGTGTCAACTTGGTTGTGCATAATTCTGTTATGGACCACTTGCTTATTAGTCAGCTGGTTGATTTTCTGCTGGTGGGTTGTCAGCTGGTTGGTTGGGGTAACTGGGTTGGTAGCTGGTTGGTTGTTGCCTGCCAGTTAGGATGTCGGCTAGGGGCTGGCTGCTGTATGCTGATTTGTTTCGGCTAGGGGCTGCTTGTTTTGTAAACGAATTGACTGGCGGTATGGTTCTCTTCTGTCTAGCTGGAGTTGGTGCTAGATGATTGTGGGCTTAATGCTGGATTATTTCTGGCAATAGGTTTTTCGTGGTTGGTTGTAAGGTCATTGCGCTGTTGGCTCCTGGGCTGCATGTTCAGTCGTTGGCTCCTGGGCTGATCGTTGGCTCCTGGGCTGTTGGTTGGCTCCTGGGCTGTTGGTTGGCTCCTGGGCTGCTCGTTCAGACGTTGGCTCCTGGGCTGCTCATTCAGGTGTTGGCTCCTGGGCTGCTCATTCGGGTGTTGGCTCCTGTGCTGCTCGTTCAGTCGTTGGCTCCTGGGCTGTTGGTTGGCTCCTGGGCTGTTGGTTGGCTCCTGGGCTGCTCGTTCAGACGTTGGCTCCTGGGCTGCTCGTTCGGGTGTTGGCTCCTGGGCTGCTCATTCGGGTGTTGGCTCCTGGGCTGCTCGTTCAGTCGTTGGCTCCTGGGCTGCTCGTTCAGTCGTTGGCTCCTGGGCTGTTGGTTGGCTCCTGGGCTGCTCGTTCAGTCGTTGGCTCCTGGGCTGCTCGTTCAGACGTTGGCTCCTGGGCTGCTCGTTCAGTCGTTGGCTCCTGGGCTGTTGGTTGGCTCCTGGGCTGCTCGTTCAGTCGTTGGCTCCTGGGCTGTTGGTTGGCTCCTGGGCTGCTCGTTCAGTCGTTGGCTCCTGGGCTGCTTGTTCAGTCGTTGGCTCCTGGGCTGCTCGTTAAGCCGTTGGCTCCTGGGCTGTTGGTTGGCTCCTGGGCTGTTGGTTGGCTCCTGGGCTGCTCGTTGGCTCCTGGGCTGCTCGATCAGACGTTGGCTCCTGGGCTGCTTGTTCAGTCGTTGGCTCCTGGGCTGCTCGTTAAGTCGTTGGCTCCTGGGCTGTTGGTTGGCTCCTGGGCTGCTCGTTCAATCGTTGGCTCCTGGGCTGCTCGTTCAGTCGTTGGCTCCTGGGCTGCTCGTTCAGACGTTGGCTCCTGGGCTGTTGGTTGGCTCCTGGGCTGCTCGTTCAGTCGTTGGCTCCTGGGCTGCTCATGGGTACTGGGCTGCTCGTTAGTTAGTTTGTGTTCGTTGGTTGGTTTTTGTCCGTT